TTTTTTTTTTTTTTGTTTTTGACATACATACATGACATGGTCCATGGGTATACTCATCATGGGCACAACATCATCCATTGGTATACTTGTCATGGGTTTACATACCATATACTTTCACTTTGTTAAGCCCAGTCCAAGATCGAAATTACCATTGGTTGTGTTACGCCATTGGCTTTGATACCATTTGTTGGCGGGACACACGGCTTAGTGGGGCAACATTGAGTGGTCCATTACATGTTTCGATACCACATTGGAACCCAAAGACTAGCTTATTAGTTCCATGACTCTTCATATATATAAGCCACTCTTTTCTTCTATATTTCTTCTATATTTCTTCTATATTTCTTCAATGTGGGATCTTAACTCTTCACACTCACAAGAAATATACTACTTCAACGGACATGTTATCTACCTTGAGTACACAAGGCTCAATTTGATCGAAACCAAATTCTTCAAGCACCATTCTAAGCTAAACAGCATGATTTGCTGCTACTCTAGCTGCTAAGTACTCAGCCTCAACTATGGACTGAGCTACAACATCTTACTTCTTTGAATTCCAAGGGAAACTCCCTGAACCAAATGACGACACATAACCTGTTATGCTTATCATATCCTCCATAAAACCTACCCAATCACTATCAACATACCCCTATAACCTTCCTTCTTAACTATTGTCAAACCACAAGCCAAGTTCATAGGTTCCTTTGATGTACCTAAGAACTCTCTTGGTTGTAACTAAATGAAGTTTATTGGGAGCTGACATAAAGCTTGACAACTAGCTTGTTGCAAATATCAAATCAAGTCTTGTAGCAGTTAAATAAGGTAGGCTACCAATTAAACTTCGGTAGTAGAAGGAATCAACCTTGGTTTCTTGATCATCTTTGGAAAGCTTTTCGTTTTGAACTAGTGGGGTAGCAACTGGTTTATAAATCTCCATTTTAAACATCTTCAAGATATCTAATGCATACTTTCTCTGGCAAATGAAATCCCTTGCTTAATTGCTGAACTTCAAGTCCCAAAAAATACTGTCTCTCCCAAATCTGTCATTGCAAACTCCTGCATCATAACCTTCTTGAATTGTTCCAACAACTTTAAATCATTTTCGGTTAACAATAATCATCCACATAAAGTGACAAAATAAGCTGAGATTCATTGCTGCTACCTTTCACATATAAAGTTACTTTTTCTGTGCTCCTCCTGAAGCCTTGACTCATCAAGTAGTCATCAATTTTGCAATACCAGGCCCTTGGTGCCTGTTTCAGACCATACAAAGCCTTGTTAAGCTTATAAACACAGTCTTCCTTCCTTGTAATCTCAAACCCAGGTGGTTGTTCAACATAAATTTCCTTTTGCAGAACACCATTGAGGAAAGCTGATTTCACATCCATACGAAATAACTTCCAACTCAAATTAACAACTAATGCAATTAGAAGCCTTATTGTATCATGTCTTGCCACCGGAGCATAAGTCTCTCCATAATCGACCCCTGGCTGTTGAGCATACCCTTTCACAACAAGTCTGACCTTATGTTTGTGTATAGAACCATCTAGATTTAGCTTAGTTTGAAACACCCACTTCACTCCAATAGGCTTCTTATCATCTCAATTTTGGAACAAGACACCAAGTATGATTTTTTTCGATCATAGACAGGTTTTCCTTCATGGCATCAATCCAAACTTGTTGTCTAGCTGCTTCTTCAAAACAATTAGGTTCTGCAAAAGCTAAATTACATCTTGCATAAATCTCAACTAGTGACTTGGTTTTCAAAACTGGTGAAACATCATCAACTTCTACAATTTTAGAACTGGAAGCAACATCAGTTGATTTTAATTTTGAACCAGCTTTACACTGCTTATTTGTACCTTTTTCTATCTTCCCTACATCCCAATTCTAGTCTGCACTCTCATAAAAAATAGCATCTTTATGCACATTCACTTTCTTGGATATAGGAACATACACCTTATAGCCTTTTGCATGTGTTGCATAATCTATAAAGATCCCAATTTTTGCCTTTTCATCTAATTTCCCTCTTCTAGCTGCTAAAACATGATTATAACAAATTGAGACAGAAACCTTCAAATGATCAACAGATGGTTTTTGACCATACCAAGCCTTAATAGGTATCATGCCTTTTATTGCCTTTGTTGGTAAACCATTTAAAAGATAGACTGTTGTATAAACTGCTTCAACCTAAAAAGATTTGGGCAATTTCTTCTCTACTAACATGCACCTTGCCATATCCATAACAGTTCTATGTTTCCTCTCCGCAATGCCATTCTGTTGTGGGGTTTAAGACACTATTAATTGATGATCAACAACAGCTTCTTCACAAAATAAGTTGAAATCATTGGAGGAATACTCCTTGCCATTATCTGATCTGAGTTTGTTAATTTTACACCCACTTTGGTTTTCAACCATAGCTTTGAATTTTTTGAACACAGGTAAGGCTTGGCCTTTGCTGTCGAGAGAGTATACCCATGTCATTCTTGTAAGGTCATCTATAAAGAGGATGAAATATTTGTTGGCTGAAAGATGGTGTTCTCATAGAACCATACATATTTGTATGCACTAGTTCAAGCTTTTGAGTTGCTCTCAAAGATTTATTCACAAGAAAAGGCAATTTGTGCATCTTGCCTAATTGACAACTTTCACAAACACTGTTAGTTAAATGCAATTTTGGCAAATCTCAAACAACTCATGTGTTTGCATATATTTTAGGCCTTTGACATTGAAATGACCATATCTTTTATGCCATAAATCTGCATCTACAATTTTAGAAGTAGAAAAACAATGCTGTACCTTTTCCAAAACCAAAGGAAAGCTGTTTTCTACCATTTGCACCCTAGCTATCTCATCACTAGTAGGGTCATCAATAAAACATGAATCATGCACAAAAGATAGAGTGTATCCCTTTTCCATCATTTTTGCAACAAAAGTAAATTCTAGCTCAAGCTAGGAATAAACAAGACATCAGTAATTTGCTTTGTACATGTTTTAGTTTAAATAACAGCAGTAACTTTCCCTTGTGATCTCACCACAGTACCATTTCCTAACTTGACATTTGTAATAACTAATTTGTCCATTTCAATGAAGAGACTTTCATCTCGAGTTATATGATTAGTGCATCCACTATCAACAAACCAAGTACTAGATGGCAGGGATGAACCCTGAGACACTATGAACAAGTAGTCCTCCTTGCACCGATCTTCAGCATAATTAACTTGCTATATGTATTGAGCTTGTTGATGTTGTGTTTGATGTTGTTGCTGTTGCTTAGCCCTACAATTCTTCTCAATATGGCCGTACTTATTACAAAATCTACACTGAATCTATGATTTGCCTTTGAACCAACAATCTTTTTCTTCATGGTTTGTTTTTCTGCAATGACATCATGGAGGAAACCTCCCTTTTTTGCATTACTGATGCTATTGATATGCTTGGTTAGAACCCATGGTCTTATTGCTCTCAGAAGTAGTGGTTGGTTGTTTGCCTTTTTGCCTTGCAATGAAGGCTCCTTCTGTAGTTTCATTAGTTTTCATAACCAGCCTTTGCTCATGAGCTTGAAGCTTGCTTTTGAGCTCAGGGATGGTTAGCTCTTTGAGGTCACAAGACTCTTCTATGGTAGAAATCTTGAACTCAAATTTATTTGGTACACTAACAATAATCTTTCCCACCACCCCTCGATCTGGAAATTCCTCACCATGAAGTCTAATTAGGTTGACAACATCCATCAATTTATTTGTATATTGATGGACTATTTCTGTCTCCTGCATTTTCAGCATCTCAAATTGTCTTTTGACGGTTACAATCTTGTTACCTTTAACTTGGGAACTACCATCAAACTCTTTCTTAAGAGTATCCCAAGCTTCTTGTGCTATTTCTGCTCCCATGATCCTTGAGAAAATATCATCTGTTATAGAACTATGAATATATGTGAGGGCTTTGTATGAGGCTTGATCATAGTCAGCATGTTGCTTCATCAAGGCCACAGTTGGATTGTTTGGCAGCATAGGAGGATGAAACCCATCTTCGACAGATTCCCACACACCATTACCTCTTAGAAAGGCCTTCATTTTGATAGCCTAAACACTGTAATTTTCTCCGGTGAACATAGGAGGATTAGAAAGTGTTGAAGAATTGTTTGAAGACATGATTGTGTTTTTTGTTTACATAGCTTCTCTCCTTCACCAGCACTCGTGCTTGCTCTTTCTCACCAAAATTTGAAATTGTTTTTGCTCTCACATGCCCCTCAAGATGATTTGGCTTTGATACCAATTGTAAGTTTCTACAGTAAAGTAAAAGAACACAGAAATTGCAGGACTAGAAAATTTCAGAACAAGAGCTTCTCTGATATGGAGCTCTCTTTTCATTTCAGATTAAATTGCAAGACATAAGAGTTGCTGAAAAAAACATGCAGCACATACATATTAGTTATTGCCAAAAAAAAAAAAAAACCACTGGAAAACATAAAATTTAACTGCAATAAACATAAACTAACTGCAGAAAACTAAAAAGAAACAGTTACAAATTAAAAAGCTTATACTTATATCTGCTAAATTCAACAATAGAAAATAAAAAATCTATTCCTCCATTTCTCTCGTTTGCATTGAAAAAGGGAAAATGAAAGCAATAACAGGACGAACCCAAAAGGTATTTTCTGAGCTTCCTCTACAAAAAAATATCAATTGTTCAATAGAACAATGGAATATTGGATTGATGCTAGAGTTCATCATGAAATTCATCATAATCCTCCAATCCGTCGTCATACAAGGTGTTGTAGAACAAATTTTCGTGATTTAGCATCTCAGCCAGTGACAATGCACCGTCTTTGTTATCATCAGCCTACAATCCAGCAATCAAACCCAAAAAAAAAAAGAAAAAAAGAAAAAAAAAAATCATACTTGAATTCAAGCCGGGGATTAATTCCGAGTTTTCAAGGTTTTCAAGACCTCAGAGGCCTTACCTCGTGAATCAGATAACTTGTGTAGTACTTGGCGTGGGACAATTGGCCGGGGTATAGATACCGAAGTATAGGCTTCAGTTCTTCCACATCTATGAACCTGTCCTTGTTCAAATCAAGTTCGGTAAATTTCTCTTCCGCGGTCGGTTCATTGCCGTCCGTTTCGAATGCCAGGTAGCTTCTATGAATATCATAGGCATGATGAAGAAATTCTTCGAAATTGAGTTTCATATCGTGGTCGTCGTCCATTCTTCTGCTTGGAAAAAATGGTGTCATTTTTCAAAAAGGGAAGCGAAAAGGGAAAAGATGTTTGGAAGCTGAGAAAATTTCCTTACTTCATCTTTTCACTGAGAAGCCACATATGAATTTTTTCGTTGTTACTGTCTTCTGGGTGTAAGAAACTGTCAGGAAAATAAAATTTAAGTTAAAATAATTTAAATTCAAATATTCGAATGGACTTGATGAGAGAAATGGAAAACTACTCGTTAAATTCATTGAAATTGAGATTCCCATCCCAATCAACGTCTGCATTGTTGAATTGCTTCATCCACCAACCAGCCTCGCCGTGCCCCATTTCACGTTTATCTATTACCGGAAAAGTCTGATTATTACCTTGTTTTTAAAGCAAAAGGGGAAAGTAGAATCTCACCGTAGATTCGAGTTTTACCTATATCTTTCTCGGTAAAGTGAGGCAGATACTCGCGGAAGCTGATGGCTCCATCCCCATTTTTGTCTCGTGATGTTATCTCTTTTTGCGTTCTGTAATACAGCCGATCCAGCGCTTGTTGAATATTCCAGGTCTCTAGTTCATCGTAGCTCACAGGCCCATTCACCGACGAGACGTCCAACAGAGGAAACAGGGTGATCAACCTCAGGGTAATGTTCAATATGCCCTTATCGCTGAAATACTCCAATGAATCCTCTACTTCGGGAATGTAAGAGATGTCTTCCTGGTTGATGGCGTTGTTGATGCGATGATCGCTGCCTGATTTTCTTTCCTCTACGGATCTTTCGATCCGGATGACTAGAGGGTCGAAAGCTGGCACCCGAAATTTGTAGCCAAGGCGGCGGCCAGGGATTAAGCGGGCGTCATCTTGGCGAGAGTTAGGGGAAAGGACCAAGAAAATGAAGAAGGCGGTGGCTAGGAGAGCGTAAACCACCGCCTTCGACATTTGATGGCCGTGGATGGAGAGGGGGATCGTGAAGCAGAGTCTCCTTTCTCCTTTTTCTTCATTATTTTTATCTTCTATATCTCTATGCTGCTGTGGGTTGATGGAAAAAACGGTTATTGACAGTTAGAAGTGAGGGGCACATAAATCACCTAATGGTTTGGTGTTTTTGCCAAATTAAAAATGGTTAGCATCAATTGAAAACCAAAGAAAATACCAAGATTTTTCCTGTGTTTACGTAGAGTTTTAATAAAAAAAATTTAAAGAAATTTTTTTCTATGTCGGATAAGTGGGCTATACAAGAGACATCATCTCTTTCCTCGAATGCTTTCTCACTCTATCTTAAAGTTCATATTTAGAACTTCTAATTTGATAGGTTGGGCGGACGTAAAAACTCTAGATGCCCCCTTTCTTCCTTCTAGCTGCGCGCCTTCCGTCGCTTCTCCTCCCCCTCTTCTTTGCCTCGCCTATTACTTGCCTCCTTCGCTGACGGTTGCACAGGCTTGTCCACCTAGGGTAAGGGGCTTCTTCCCTTGCACTGTTAAATCCTACCATGCAAGATCTGTACCTCCTGGAAACAGCAATGGTTGGTTTGGTTTGGTAGGTGTCATTTGAGATTCAGGCCCTTGTAGGGGTTTGCCTAAAATAATCCTTCTTGATAGTGGCTGTCATCCTATATATCCACTAAAAAATTAAAAGTCCAAAGATTCGAAATTACATGGTTTCAATAATTAACTACAAAAAGATACTGAAATCACTCACCTACACACATCCCCATCTTATATCCTCAGACAGACACAGAAGTATCCCCTTCTTACTTTGTTCTCAGAGGTAGGAGTTTTAACGTCCCCATATTGACAAGTACTAATGCCAAGTGCTAATTGAGATCCAATTCAGCTTTATCTTTTCTAATATGATGCACTAAAAATGGGGAAAAGGGAACGTTCACCCAACTTTAACTTTACTGGAAAATCTTATAACCTTCATTTCATTGCTTCACTTATCATTTTGCTAATAGGCATGACAAGTGTCAGGCCATTGCTGGTAACTGCAGCGATGGCAATAGCAAAAAAGACAGTAATGGCATATCACCAGCTAGTTCACAAATGCATTTTCTCCTCTTTGATTAGGAGATAAAAGAAGGCTGGGGTAAGAACTCCAGTGCCCCACAACATTTGCAAATCAGTAAAGATGGATCGAAAGGTTTATGCATGGCCATATACATCAAGAAGAAATATGTTGGGTACTACAGCTGGAGCTCATGATATAAACTCCAGGTCATTCAGTTTTATCACCATGCCGCATCCATGGCCAATCGCTCTCACAAAGATCACAAGGGGAGTTGCCATCGTTGTCCGTTACATCTCTGTCTGCATTTTGCTTCACAAGATATTCGGCAATATCCTCCCTCTCGCACACAACAGCATAATGCAAAGGAGTTTGACCTTCATTGTCCTTCCAAAAGAAAATAAGGAATTTAATAACAATAACAATGGAAACAAAAGAAACAAAGAGGAAGAAGCATTTTCAAATCATTCATTAAACCCGTTCTCCCCTAGGCCCAGAAAAGAATCAGCACCCTTCAAGAGAAATATGAGAGAAGAAAATAGAAAGAGCCTAAGTATGGAAGATATTAAGAAGATTTAAATACAGGAACTTATACAGTAATATTAAATATAACAAATCTTATGTACCCGAAAATTAGTTGTAAGTTATATGCTTAAAGCCTTGCAGAACCTAAGAACTTTTTCTTCAGTTACTGTACTCACTTGAATAATTCAGTGCAGTGAAACCAAAAGAATGTAAGACAAAATATCAATTCACAGCAAGCAGAAAAGTAAAGCATCCTAATGACATACATAGACATTGAGCCTCATGCAATTATTCCAATAATGAGGATCGGGATTAAAGTAGCTATGGTACAGATCTTTTATGTTCTTTTCAATATCATTTTTTTAGGCAATGAAGTTTCAAAGGGACTTATGTTCCTAAAAAGAAATCAAAGACACACAGTTCATGAATTGCAGGAGGAATAACATCAAGGAGTATATAGCAATCTGATCATATCACCTAAAAGAATAATTTACCTTTGCATTCACATCAGCTTTCCTGCTAACAAGCAATTCAGTGATGTTACGATGGCCACGATCTACTGCCCAATGCAATGGGGTCCGACCTTCGCTGTCTGCAAGCAGCACAAGTGAACTGATCATAAGGTCAAAAGAAAAGGGAACTAATGCATGCGGTAAATAGACACAGTTTCTGCATTTAAGTAGTTCTTGGTAATTTACAAGTATTACCCTTTGAACTACGTTAAAAAAAAGAGAGTGAGTGACAGAAAAATATGGATGTCACAATAGAAGGGGAAGAAGGATACATATCATCACTGAAAAATGAAAAAATGGAAAAGAAAAACAATAAAACACTTGCACAAAACATTGTTGCATGCATGGTGTAAAACCGGCCAATTAACTTCTAAAATTTAGCTTTACATACTGAATTCTATGCGAGTTAAACAAAACTGTACTAAGGTGATCACTATTAAAAAACAAACCTTTCAAGTCCACTGAAACACCACTTTCAATGCATTTAATCAAATTACCCAGTTCTCCTTCTCTGGCAAAAGCATGAATAACATCCATTTTCCTGAAAATAAAAGAAATCATTAGGATTTCCTTTGCAGTTTCTTAGCTACCATTATTTGATTTATTAGCTGCTACAAACAGGCAGACTTTTAAACAAGCAGGAATTGTTCCATATCCAAAAAGAGGCAGACATATCAATCATCAGCTTACAAAAAAATTCTCGTAAGCACCATATTTCAAAAGCAGGGTTCATGCTTGTAAAAGATAAATTATAAATTCTCCCTATGAGAAAGAAGCCCATAAGATCCAAGGCTAGCAGTTTAAAAATCAAACATGAATCAGCAAAATTCTAGCAGAGGTGCATTCTTTAAACCTAGTGAACAAAATCAGATTAATGTTATGCTCTACATGATCAAGGTAAGTGCCCTCTCATTCTGAAAAACGATAGTAGTTGAAACATAAGACAGAATATGAGAACAATAAACATCTGCCAGGTGCATAATTCATAGAATTAATAAAGGTCATTATCATGAGAATATGATACCTATCATGAATAAAATGAAATGAATGGAATGGTAGACCTTATTCTTCAAAACAGGAACAACTTCTACTTGTATGTTATTTTTCTTGATGTTGAATGTAATACACCCCATCAACACAGACATGATGAATTTACATTTAACAAGACCTCAGTAAAGTTCTAAGAATCTTACATCTCATTTCCAGATTCCTCTTCATATATGAAAGAGCTGAAAACAGGTCCCATTGGTCCCTTAGCATCTTTTCTTGGAGAATTATCTTTGCCCTTCTAGGCACACAAAGTTTGATAGTAATCAGCAAAAAAAATTGAAATAAAAGGAAGTAAAACTCAAGAAAAACAAAATATAGCAAGATTTGTAAACAATCAATGAATAAAATTAAAACCTCACCAGAGATGCACCAGCAGCCCAAGTCGGAAATAGCTCTGTAACAATATCAATGTACTTCTGCATTGCATCTTCTGGAGGCATGGCACCCAATTTATGCCAAGCTTGCCTAACAAAAAACCAAAACAGAAAAATAAAAAAGAAAGAAAATAAAATAAATTTAATTTAGAGAGAGAGAGAAAGAGAGAGAAAAGTGATTCCAATCATGCACCGAAATTATATCTTTATGCTAGAAACAGAGCTCATCTACCGCAAAAAAAATTAAACAAACAAATCAAGATCTGAATGACAACAAAAAGTTCTACAAAGCAACCACAGAGAATGCATCTATGACAGAGACAACAAACTTATCTCACAAACTACATGTTTCCACAATTAACCACAGAGAATGCATTTATGACAGAGACAACAGATTCCTAACTCAAAAACATGTCCAGAGGTAAAATTGCACAATTGAAGGTTCCACATCCCTCTCTTTTATCATTAATTTCTACTAAGAAAACTGATGAAGCAGTCACTCTTCAGCCACCTCTTTAAAAGATGCGAGTTCATAGCCTCTATGAATAGTGAAAGATGAAGTATTTATTATCTTTCTCAGCCTCTTTGATTTGTTTATCAAGTATAATATTATAAATTATTATACAAGGAAAAGTTAGTTTAAGACACAAGGCCTCTTACAATCCCTTTAATTCTCTTTTCCTGAAAAATACATGTCCACACATTAGATTCTGAATGGGATAAAATTGAAATATGAAGAAAGGTGGAATAATGGGAACAAGGGTGAGGCTTCTCTTGGAATTTACACATCATGAAAACGGACTTTATAAGCTCATATTACAAAAAAGGAAATTTCTGGCCAAAAAGAATGGCAAAAAAGAAAAAAAAAAAAGAAGAAGAAGAAGAAGAGAAATTTATGAGCAAATCAAGAATAAAGATTGGACCTAATCCAAGAGGTCTTTTTTTTTTTTTTTTTTCAATTTCAATTGTGTTCAATCCTGTTCAAGACCAGCACCACCAAACCAAATAATTTGGACTATGTTGTACACTGCAAAGGGTAACTTCCACAGAACTATACCAACTTTTTTTTTATCCCTAAGTTTAACATCTAAAGCTATCAGCCAATAAATTAATTAAGAAGGAAGAAGCTTGGTCAATATGGTGCAAACGTCCCTATCCCTCTAAGCTATGACAATGGCGACTAATCCCTAAAAATTCCTTAAAATTAACATAATTCCTAATACCCACTTTACCAAACAACAATGGAAACTGAATTAAGGAGGCTTCACATATGTCAAATTAATCCTCTCATCAAAAAGAATGGCGGAAGAGATTCCAAAAAAGACGAAGTACCATTTAGAGCGAGCCGTCATTTTCAATGCAGAAGGCTGCGGGGAACTACAAGGCCCTTCAGTGGCAATCTTGTACAACCCATATAGCTGCAGCTGCACATCGGTGGAGACCTTGTGAGACGCACGATCCGCCGCAGTTGCCGCCACGAACGTGGTAGCCGCACTAAACGCCTCGTCCAGTTCCGTACTCTCCACGCCCTCCCAATCATCATCATCATCATCCTCGTTATCAGTGCCGACCAAACTCTCATTTCTAACGCTACCCACTTCAGCCATCACGGACTCCACCTCAAACCCACTCCCCAAATCACCATGCCCATGCGGGTCGGATCCATGGGCAGTCCCGGGTTTTGAGGATTCAGCATGGGTTGTATCGCGGGTGATTGAGAGATTATCTTCTTTGAAGGAGAGGACTACGGAGATGAGCTTGGCAAGAAGGTAGGAGAAGAGAAGGCCTATGAATATGGACTGTAGGAACTGCTGCCAGTCAGCCATGGCGGTCTGTGATTCGAAAACCGAACCCTAAACCTAGAAAATAGAGGGCGATTTTACGGAGAGAAACACGAATGGGGAAATTGAGGGATCGGATTGCAGAGTCGAAAAACAAAGGTCTTTTTTCTTAAAAACTCTGCTTTGTATCAGAGAAAGTACGTTTGGCGCCGGAGAAACAGAGCATAGGCAGGACCGCCTATTAATACTTTAGTGGGTGCGGAGGATTCATGGACCGTGGGTGCTAACCAGCGGGCTAGGGGGTGCGGTGAAGACCTTTAGGTTGCGTCGGGGTCAGGTCGTTCATGGACCAATGTGGTCCACGTTCGGGTCCAGGTGGTTTGATGTTTATTTCCTAGTCTCTCCTAATGACACATACTTAACTCTCAAAATAAAAAAAAATAAAAAAAAAAGGAAAAAAAAGGAAAATTGACACATACTGATAAGTCAGGCTTGCTTAGGTTGGGGATTTAAGTTTTGGGTTCAATAGATATTATATTTTTTAAATATGTTGGGTTGATAAAGAGGGTTTGTTTTTAATTCATTTGGGGAAGAATTAATTTAAATATTTTAATAATGGATATTAAAAAATAATAATATTGTAGTTATAAATTATAAAAAATATAAATTTATAAATTTATAATTATAATGTGATATTAAATAAATAAAATATAAAATTAAATATATAGATATATCTAATATAATAAATAATTTTTGAAATAAAAATTAATTAATCAATAATCTATTAGTCCGAATGGAATGAATTTAATTTTTTTAAATAAATTTGAGTTTGAGTTTTGTGAATAAAAAAAAAATAGCGGAGAACTTTTTCTTTATGAGATTTGAAGCGATTCGATTGCGGATTAATCAATATTTAATGTGATTACTGGATATTAAGAAATTAATATAAAAAAATAATTAATTAATTAATTATAAAAAAATATATTATATTATATATTTATAAATCATGGGAGACTATAATTATAAGTTTTTAGACAAGGAGACAGCTTCTGCCCAATTCGGCTGCTACTCTTAATAATTTGGAAAGGAGTAGAGCTAAGTTCCGCCC